GAGACACTGGCACAGGTTGCCCTGAGAAGCTGTGGCTGCCCCCTCCCTGGCAGTGTTCAAGGCCAGCCTGCATGGGGCTGGGAGTGGAGGTTGTCCCTGCCCATGGCAGGGGGTTGGAATTAGATGATCTTTAAGGTCCCTTCCAACCCAAACCATTCTGTGATCCTAACAAGTTAGCATACAAGTACAAGCACCTTTCATAAAGCCACATTTAAAAGTATGTTATTTAAAGCCTATATACAACATAACTAAAACACCTCCCCACACCTCTGCATTGCCTTGGAGAAGTGGCCACACAGAATCCCAGTTCTTACAAGACAAACCCAAAATTGCAACTCCAAGAACCCAAGAAAGCCCAGAGACCAGCTTTCAACTTTTAACGTATAGCAAAACTTCCAGGAGAGAAAGGTCAACCTTTTTCCAAGTAAGGTGCCTGGCTTTGCAACAGCAGAAACAGCCTTACCTTCTACTCATTTGACTGTTTTCTGACAGAGTACAGAAAATACTCCTTTTTCCCACTGCTGCTTCACTTCCAGTTTGGTTACTGTCCTACCATGACTATACACATTAAGGGAAAAGTATTTTTCCCTGCTCTTGCGTCAGTGTGGAAACCCAGCATGAAAGACTTGGGGTTTTTTTCTTCATATATTCTCACATAAGTCTTTATTTTTTTTACATCTCTGAAATGGAAACTCTCAAGGAGGACTGGAACTTGGCTTTTGTTGCCAAGATGATTATTTCTCATAGATATCTGCTTCCAGATATTTGGGATGTAAACACATTTACAGATCAGGACAGCTGTCACAGAAATAGTTATTGTATGCCTGTTTATCAAACAGTCTTTAAAACAGAAAAAAACAATCTTGTTCAGAGAAGAAGCGTCACAAAGCATGACTAAATTCAATGTGCTAGGAATGACACGCTTTTAAACTTTTCCTTCCGCATGTGACATCTACATCAATTAGATCAAACAGAAAAAAACTTTTTACTTAACTGCTTGGCTGTTATAAACTGTTATTACCAAATAACTGAGCGTACCCCTCTTGAATGCACAAAAACGTCGCCCTGATTAGCCTAATTCCTTCTGTTCTTCTCATAGCAATGCTATAGGAAGCACTCGGGAGAGATCTTCATCACGCTTAACCATGCGGGAGAAAGAGTCTGAATGTGTTTGATGCAAATGATCACCTAGATCCAAGAAGGCTTTAGAGAGGGAGGTGATGAGAAGGAGGAAGAGCTCAAGCTGCCCTATTGTCTCACAGACTATGGTGGGGATTAGAAGAGAAGTTGAATGATGTTCTGAGCTCTCTTATGGAGTGTTAGGTCCTCTAGCAGCAAGCACTGCCTTGTAGAGACACACGGCACCAGCGATCATCCCTGCAGAAATCAAGTGGGAGCTAGGACACAAAAGCTATCCCCAAAGCGGCTCTTGTCATATGACTGCTCCTGCTCCCTGACCCTGGCCCAAGCTATCTCAGATCTGCCCACATGCTATCCCTGACACCTATGACAAAGGGTACCAACCTTTGAGATAGCAATGCCATAGCATGTATTTTACAATCCACCAGTTGATCAGTAAGAGGCTTTGCCTTTGCCTCCCTATCAGACCAGCTGATGTGCTGGCATCTACCCAAAATACAAGAAATTCCACTAAGAGACAGAGAAAACTATCTGTTGGGCACCCGTGAAAGAATGAATTTAAAACATGTCAGTTATAGGCAATCAAATAGACATGTTGTTATATATATATTTATTGGCAAAGTCAGCACTGAAATCCATACTTCAGGGACAGCTTCTGAACAGAGCTTAATAACAGACCATTGATGTCTTCAAATGAAGACATAATTTAAGATAAACACTATTTGACTGTTTCAACAATGAAAATGCATTGTCTTTTTTGGTTTTGATGTTTGAATGAAAGTAAGTTCAGACATTTCTAGGAATGCAAGTTAGCGGAAAATAGGTAATCTCAGCCTAGAAATGCTTTTGGTGGGCCTGGGCTATTGCCATGTACAAACAAAGATGATGAATTCTATTTCCACGAACAATCTTAAATGTGACATTTTAATTAAGCAGTGGTATTCTTTTAATATCTTAGCTTTTTTCAGTAACCTGTACACAGCAGAAGGAAAATTAGTGTGTTCCTGACCACATCAAACAATTAAATGAAATACTGTCCTCACTGCTAACCATGGTGAATATTACTTTACTGCAGGTACCAAGTCTGCACTGGCAAAAGCACAGAAGAACAGAAAACAACATTGCTTTGGGGAAGACGTAACACATGAAGCAGTGAGAATGCAGTGTTTTTGCAGGCCTAAAAATAAAAATAGCAAGTACTGATTCTTTCTGTGTTTGGTACAAATCCCCGTACAGCAGATCCGTGTACAGAAACCTCCTAATGAAAAAACAGTAACAGACAATTTCAGCCCTTGCGACCAATTTTAAAGTGTCATGCAAGATGAAAACAACAGTTTGTCAGCACTAACAACTAAGAAAAAGCTCTGAGACAGTAGCACAGACTGCAAGGGATAATTTGCAAATGTTTTTAGTTGCATGGCAGGTAACTGCAGAGACACCCAAAGTCCTCCTGGCGCTCCAGAAGCTGAGCACCAAGGACCTACAGGTCTCCCACCCAACAGAAGCTGTGACACTCTGCATAAAAACCACTGTCAATATACGTGACCACGTGAAAGTTCAGACTAACAAGCCAGGCACAGATTGTGACAGTACCTTTGTTACAACATTAATACTCCCCTAATATTTTAAAATCACTCTCTGCAATGCAGCTCTTCAGTCTTGCCTGAACACAAGGGTATTGAGAGTGACATTGGACTGACACACAGCTGAGCTGTTGACAGTTATTTCCCAGATCCAGGCTGGTGGCCTACTACCTTTTTTTTTTTAAAAAAAGAGTAATACTTCATGGTTAGCAGTTCTTCTTTTTCTGTTTGTTTTTAACCCAGTAACCACTGCTTGGATCAATCAGCTTTCTTAAAAAAACTCCTCTGTCTTGCTGCTGCTGGTCAATCTGTCCAGTAAAGCAATAACCAGACAGAACTAAAATGTGTCCTTTAAGTAAGAAATATTCAACGAAAGCAGCTTCTTCAGAAGAAACAAATCCTGTGAAGGAAAACCCCAAAGAAGAGATACCACAGCTGATAATGCAATGAATGTACCAATCTGCATTTCAGAAGCAATGGCTGCAAGTAAATTACTACAGCAGGTCTGAAACAACTCGCTGCCCACGCAGCTGAACTGATGAAATACAACCTCACAGGGATGTCTGCACCTTCACTGACCCTCCTCTCACATCAAAACCATAGCCATCTCCCTTCTATATCCTCTGCCACCCAAAATGGGCACAAGACAGCAGGTAGCCAGGATATGTACACAAGTGGCTACCAGCACTGCCAGACAGAGCTGTCTACTGTACAGTTTCATGTAAAGAAAGCATTACACATGCAGTGAGTCCCGAAACGAAATGAAATGTGCAATATTAACTTATGTCATGTACAAGCTGTTTCCCTCTGCCCTGGCAATCTAAGTATATGCCAAAACATGTGAATTTCAGGCTATAAACTCTATATATTAGTATGTATCTCAACATTTTTTTCAGAAACTTATTTCTCTGAAGCAATCAATTTTCGCCTGTGTTCAACTGTCTTAAAAGCAGAAAGGTCTTATTTAAACGTCTTACCACTGGTTTAGTGACTCAGTCCAGCACTTCTCTTCCCTAAATTATGGAATATGTTGAAAACCAAAGATACTCCCCAACCCAGGCATCTAAATTAAATAGCAAAATGGAAAAAACAAACCAATCATGAATAATTTTCTCTTATGAACTCTTCCAGTGACAGTGACAGCTCTGTGCCTCTCGAGGGGTAGGTTGGAATTTGAAAAAGTGTCTGATGAAATCATGGCTTCAGACGTTTCAGGTCCCAGGCCAAACGAATATAACACACCACACAAGATCTCCAGGGATGTCTGCTCAGTGGCACGACTGTGAAGTCACAAGCCTTTTTCTCCTTTTTTTTTTAAATATTCATCTCAACAAGCAGCATCCGCAGTTGGAAGCAAAATCCTTCTCCTTCTTCCCCTAATACAGGGGAACGTATAACGCAAAAACGCGGGAAATTGACTTGAAGCATAAGATAACTATTACTATGCAAGAGAAGACTCATGAAGAGTAGGGTGACCAAGCTCCTTCCTGCAGTTGCTCATCCTACCTGTGTAGTGTGTACGGCACAGGGACGAAGTGTGTTTGGATGGCTTCGTCAGCACATCATGGAGGCGTCCACGTTAATTGTAACTGCGAAAGACACTCGGTACTTTATGGACGTCATCCCAAACACGTCGGGATCCCAAACATCCCATTCCATCCCAACACCATACCATTATGGGTTTTCCATAAGCTGTGCATTTTACAATTCCTTAACGCAATTTTTAAAATCCACTTAGCTGTATGGACAAGTACTTCAGCAAACAATAAACTTCTTTGTTTAGAGCTCACAAGGAGCTATAAGCGACTTCGATAAACAAACTAAAATTGCTTTGTACAGAAGAATCTTGCTGCTGGAAAGTCCAAAACTATGCATCCTTCTACAGGTGGAAAGCAGTGCTGTGGATCCCACCAGGAAGCCGCAAAAAGCCTTTTCAAATGATAAACCTCCTGTTTTTCCAAAGTATTGGACCTAAAAGATCAGTTGTAAGGCAGCATCAATTCTTCACATATGTTAATTTCTGTGAAATTATGTAGGGTTTTGGCAAGTATAAGGTAACAAATACAAGAACATTGATGTTGAAGGTTACTCAGAAACTTAGAATCTCTTATGGAGGACAGATCAGCAGTCAGGGCTTAAAAAGTTACACACCAGTGGTTATTTGGATTTGTAAATTATGAACAGATATCATCCCCATCCCAGTAGTACCTGACAGTTGCCCACAGACACTGGAAATGCAGTCTTTCCCTTTTTTTCCCTAGCATGGTATTCTCTTACCTGAATTTGGAGAGATGTGTAAACTGCTCATGTCCTTGGAGAGGCCGTTCGTTTTGGGACTGGAAATGGGTGCACAGGCTGATGTAGCTCGGGGTGGCCTCTTCCCAGGGACTTTCACAGTGGTTCTCAGCAAATCAATTTCTTTCCCGTGAACGTTCTGCATATAGTCCTGGCAAGAGGAAAAAAAACACCCCAAAACCCAATATCAAACAGGTAGTTCTGTAAGCAACAGAACCAACGAAACTGGTTTTATAAGACTTTTGCTCTACATCATCTGCCAACACCCACCATATGGTTTTCCCCTTCCTTCCATTTTCTTGTTATTCCCTGCCATGCTTCTCAACACAAATACTCCCAAAAGTCTGGAGCTGTCCAATACAATCTTTTAACTACCGGTTCGATAAGAGGCAATTCAGAATGTGGCTGGTTCTCAGCCCCATGTAGGAGTTCACCAGCTAGCAGGTCCCAAACAGAAGGAGAAGACAAAGCTGACTGTCCCTCATGAGCACGCTCACTTGTGTCTCCTCTCTGCCAACATTTTAGGCACTTCGCTGTTTCTCCTTTGAATTTGGCTGAAATCGGTCAGCAGGCACAAAAGTTATGAAAGACCACTGACTGGTTTCTGCAATTACAACATTGTTTTCTTAGAATATGATCCTTCTTCCACACACACAAAAATCACAGAAGGGAAAAAATTATGCAGATTGTGTCTGATTAGAGTAATCGTGCTAAAAGCTGGAAGCCAGAAGCGGAAAACACTTTTCCTACTTCTTGTTTGGAAAGCTCACAAAGAGGGAATAAGCAGACCAACACAGTCAGCTGTGGAAAGCCAGTGGTCAAGTGACCAGAGTCAAGCCACCGCTTCCTATGAAATCTATGAGAAAGTTCTTCAAACTGTAAATAACTTCTGGAAAAACAGGCTCTTGAGATTCTGCTTTCGAGCTTTAAAGGCATTCCCTAGATTGTCTGTGGGCTTGTTCAGATGAAAACACAACAGCAGACGGACATGGGTGTCTATATCAGAAGGCAAATGACAATTCATTAAGCCATGGAGGCTGCAATCCTGGGATACATCAGAAGAGATATTTCCAGTAGAGATGGTGAATGTCAAAGCCAGTACAGAAGACACCAAAGTTTTCATGTCCTGGTACACATGGTTGTGGTTACTTGCATTCCAGAAAAAACAAATGATACTGGAACAACTATGAGGACACCAAAAGAAAAAAAAAAAAGACTGTATCTTATAGAGAAGGCATGCAAGATGGGTAGCACAGGATAGCAAAATCAAGGGTGAAAGGGGTAAGAGCACTGCACAAAAAGACATCTGGGTATCAAGAGGAAAACCGCAATTTGAACTAAAGATTAGGAAAAGATCTGGGCTTAAGCTCTTGAGTTAAGCTGGAAACCAAGGGAATAGTATTCTTTAGCAATTTTCTACATGAGGCAGCTGGGGCAAAAAGTCTAATTCCTTTTCAGACAGAACCTGATCAACTTACAGAGGCCTGGGTGATGCTGTGGGCATCCGCACGAGCAAAGACTTGCCAGCAAAGACATAACCCCCAGTTGTCCGAGTGGCCAGGGCAAGTTTTAGCCAGATTACAAGGTGATGTTACACGAAAGACTACCAATATTTAACTAGGTTCGTTCCAAACCTGCAGCACACAGACCTGTACACCACCAGGGCGTCAATTTTATAGGTAAATACCTGAACGGACTAAAAGCATACCCGAGTTCTACATCAAAGCTGCCACAATACGGGGAGCAATCAGCTCCCTCATAAAAATCCTTCCACCTTTGACAGTTTTTACAATACAAATTACACATTCTGCTTAAAACACATAAAAAATCTACTACCCGACCAGCATTCGTTTCTTCACATCACAGCTAACATTAATCTGTGATAAAACCCCAAAACTAAGCCATCACACCAGCTTCCCCCCTCCCTAGCTGTTCGACAATTATTAACAGTAAAAAGGGGGGGGTTTGAACAATTCATGGGGTGAAGACACAGAGCTCTGCTGTCAACAGAAACAAAGGCACTCCATTAATAAAAATTCGTTCACTGTGTTAGATAGGAATGAATAAAACTGTTTTATCCATAAACTATCAAGTTGGTGTAACTTTCTTGTTCAGTGACAGTTGTTCATAAATTAAAATACAATAAGCAGAACATAACAGCATTTATTGCTCCTGGGCTCTAAACTGAGGCTTAATAAGACAGTGACGAAGCCTCAGCATGTACTCTTTTTAACAGACATGTTCTATTTAATGTATGACAACCAGGGTACTCCATTTAAATTTGAGAACAAGGTGTTTATTCCAAATTCTTCAGATGAATAGCGTATATGATTTCCCTGCTACCCTGCCAGCTTGTGAGATGTGACAGAGCATTATTAAAGCCCTTTTAACTGAGAGTAAACCAGGCTTAGGTGAGCTATAAACCATTTGAGAGTAAGTGAATGTTGGCAAACGTAAAATAAACGTGCTGTAGCCATACCGTTATTATTCGAAAGTGCCCAAACACAACAGATGCCATGTAGGTATTAATGTCAGCTTAAATATTTATAGGGATATATCAAATGTAAATAATAAAGCCTCTTTCATTGTGTGCAAGATGCATAGCGATAATCTCTCCATTTCCCCAAGGAGGGGAGGCAAGCACCAAGCTTCCAGTCGGTGGAGCATCCGCCCCCATGCGCGCTCCTTCAGATCTGCACTTGGGGAATAAAAGTTAAAACTACAAAATAATGTCATGGCTTCAGAAGCGCAATGGAGGGTTTGATCAGATTAGAACAGATGAGGGTCTTGCTGTCATCTGGAATATGCTGTGTTAAAGAGAAGACAGCAAGCCTGATTTTGATATGCAAATGTTACAGATATAACTCCCCTAGACATTAGTTGTAAAAATGCTGATCCGAGAAAAAAGGGGAAAAAACCCTTTAACAAGGCATGAGGGTAATTCAAAGCCAAGTACTTTTAAACAGCACTTAACAAGTCCCTAGAGCCCACTCAACAGTGGGCCACCCCAGAAGTGCCATCTTCTCCCCCTCAACAGCTTGAAAAAGTAGTAATTGCAACTCCATTTGCATTTTTCTTCTCAACTTGTCCATGTTCATCATTCAGCAATGCAGAAAGAAAAAAAAAAAGCAAGCAGCAAAGGAAAGGGAACCCTCCCCAACCGTGTGGATAACAGGAGAAGCCAGCGCCCCAGTCCCCGCACCCCTGCGCTCGCACCTTCGTCATCGCTTGTTTTTTACATTTCGCTCCTAATTATGTTGCATCTATTGCCATACACTTAATTAGCTGCATTAATGTGATTTCTTTTCACATAGTCAAGCAATTAAGAGCTATGATTGAGTTTCATTCAATTAGCCTCAACAAACATGCTAATTGATGTCCCAGATGCAAATGAGGTGCAATGAGAGAAACCTGCTAGCAATTGAGAGTTGTGGTGGGGAGACCCACAGCTCTCAGCTTGCTGACAGCAGTACAGCTTAACATGGCTCCCACCTTCTGCGGAGCTGCCTTTGGAGGCGGTGGGGGGACAAGCCATTAGTGCCTCAGTTGTCCCAAACAGATCCCTACAGGAATAATGGGCAGTGCTGAAACAAACCAACGTCGTCTCCAACTCTCACAGCAACGGCTGGGATGAGCTAAAGAAGACCATAGTGCTTTCCTGCAGCCAGGTAGGCATTACAGACCTTGCGAATGCCACCATTTCTTCAGCTGAGGACTATAAAAGGTCTCCATCTAATTTCCGAGTTTGTGAAATACTGCGCAGGTAATGGCCTGCAGTTATCAGTAACTGGCAACTTCATCTTAGTCAGCTGTGGGGCAATGCTGCCTCTTCAAGTTAAGGCCAGAACACATCAATCAATCAATAATCCCTAAAAATACGCTCGCTATATTGATTCTCATTGCTTTTCTTCCTGAGGTTACCGTTAGCAGTTTGCTCAAATATAGTGCTGCTGAGGTGTTAATTTGACTACTCAATGCCACTGACCATTATCCAGAGGACTAAATAAACTGTTAAAATATCAGAAAAAATTGTAAAAGCTACATTGACTGAAGATGACACAAAATATTATTTGACAGCACCACAAAATGAATTGCCTTGAGTAAGAAAGAAATGATGTGCTATGACACAGAATAATGTAAAGGAAAATTCTTTAGTTCTGCTCTCAATATAGCTCTCCATTTGCAACAGCAGAAATTAATTTAACCAATTAACTGAACAGAAGCCTTTCAGACATGCAAATTGACCAAACGGGCATGATAATGTTTTCTAAACAGATCTACCAAAAAGCAACACTGCCATTTTGGGGGCCCCCTTTTGTTTCCAAATGCCAGCGGTTGTTAAACCTGCTGCAAGACATCACAATGACTTCTGATTGTCCTCAAAGCCAGAGAAGAAGATGCTCCACCAAGGGCCACAAGCTGAACCCAGGCTCCGTGATGCTTCCAGCTAGCTGCCTACTGCCTCCTAGCCGAGAAGACTGAAGACAACAACAAAACATCTCTTCTTCCACAGACACGCTTAGTGCTGCTACTGCCTGCTCATTCCCTTTTTCAGGCGAGGAGGAACATATGGATCAGATTGAGGAAAGGCAGAAGAAAGTGCTGGCTGCTGCTTCCACGAAGCTGGGACTCAAACTCATATCATCCAAGTCTACCACAGTGATGCCAAATACTTCACTAAAGGACCACCGAGCATGTGGCAACATGGTTCCTTCCTACAATGATCCTTAAGTTAAAGACATGGCTCATGTTAGGTATGTAACACTGTGGTAGTCAAAAACATTACGGAGTTTGAGGATTTTCAAATGTGTAATACAAGAGAAGGTTAAATGCCTTTCTGCTACCTAGGTTGTATTTCAAAAACATACTCTTTCTTTACTGATTCACTATGATTCTGTGTTTATTAGTGTGTTAAGCAAGAAAATGTGTATGAATGCTGAGTTACTAAATATCATATTTACCTTGAGAGATAAATCCCCCATGCCTTTTTGTACAGCTGCCTGTGTGCAATGTGGGAGTACAAATCCCCCTGTCCCTCGGCAGGTGTTTTCCTCTTGATTTGCACAACTGCAAAATATTTTCCAACGTTACGGAAAACAAGCCCATGAAGAATGAGAGCTGAACCATTCTACTCAGCCAGGTTTCCGCTTT